TTTCTTCTGTTAAAAATGGGTTTAAAAATCTAGAAGATTATTTGGTTCAACCAAAATCAGATTATTCTGTGATCTGGCCACGAACCTTTTCAGAGAAGAGGCTAGTAAAAGAGGAATACCAACCTATCGATGATGATAATGCCTTAGTTAAGGGAGCCAATTTAGTTATTGCAAATTATGGGTGGCTTAAGATTGGAAGAACTGAGAAGGGATTTATCAACTTTGAAACACAATCCGTTAAAGAATGCCCTATATGTGATGTTAAACATGAAAAAGACTAACTCTATGGATTTATTCGAAAAAATGGTCATTTTATACTCAAGTGCTATCGGCAAAAACAGTATAAGCCGAATCACAAAGGCCTTAGCTTTGATAAGGTATCAGATAAAGTCAAATCAAAAGAGAAACCTAAATGGAGATTACGTGAAAAATTATCCAAGGTCATATTAACACCATATCCATTTTCTGAATTACCTGAAGAAAGTATTAATGTAAAAGAAATGGAGGATGCCCTAGATGCTTTTCCAAACTTTTTAAGTGAAGAACATAGCACCACTCTTATTCGATCTACTGTGGGTACTGGAAAAATGAAAACATTAAGAAAAATTTTGGCATCTTTAGCTCAAAGCAGTGCCAATTTACCTTGTACTATTTGGGTATCATATCGTAAAACCTTTAGTAATGAATCTGAAACTAAACTTAAAGAATTGGAAAAATTCGATTTCAAAATAGGGTAATATCAGAATATTGTGGCCGACCTAAAGACACATGAGTGGGATCTTATTATTGTACAAGTTGAAAGTATTCTTTGTCTTGATTTTCGTGAAGGTCGTTCCTGCATAGCAATTTTAGATGAAGCCAATGCCACCATGCACCAAATGACTAGTGGGGTTTATGCTTGGGAATCGTCCAATGCTATGTGGGATTTGTTAAATGTAGCTACTCATGTTGTTGCTATGGATGCTTTTGCAAATGATTCAACTTTAGCTTTCTTAAAATCCTATTGAGGTGAGAACGTTCGAGTTATTGATAACAAATATTAACCACATAAAGGGAAATTGTTAAACTTCTTTACGATCCAGATAAAAGTTCAGAAGCTATACGCAGAGGATTTAGGATGCTCCAAGAAGGTAAGCATGTTGCATTTGTCATGACAAGTTATAAAAAGGCTCGAGCCTTGGCCAATTAAGTATCTAAGTTAAAAAAACCCGATGGTTCATTCATTTTATCACAAGTTTATTTCGGTCAAATGGATAGGAAGCAACGCCATGATGATTTTGCTAATATTGATGCCACCTGGAGTACTCTGACTGTGTTGTTTATACAAGCACTGTGGAAGCTGGCATCTCCTTTGAAATATCTGGTTATTTTGATGCCGTTATAGGAATTACTAACATTGCCACTTCAGTTCATGTTGAAGCATTTGCTCAGATGTTGTTCAGAATCTGTGACTGCCCATTTCGTATGGTTTCCCTTTATCATAACAAAAAATTTGATATTTTTAAAGAACCATGTCGGAAACTCATTCGGGCTGAACTTTTAGCATTAAGACCTGGAAACTTATCAACTGCAATAAAAGGTCTACGTGAATGGGATAAAATTTCTGATTGTTATGCACTTAATTTATCTTCAGCAGTGGAAACCTACATCGAAGTTGAATATCAGAAACGCTTATTAGCCAAATATTTTTCCGAGATTCTTTGTAGCCTTATTACTAGTACTGGAGCATCTCTTGAATTAATTCTAATAGAAGATGCTAAAAAAGTTAGCAGGAAAGAAGTTTCTCATACTATTAAGAATACTGAGAAAAAAATTAAAGACGAAGATGCAGAATTAATAGCCAATGCCTCAAATATTAGTTCCGATGAAGCTGAAATTCTTAAACAAAACCCTATATACTCTTTTACTGATAACTTGACTTTACAGCGACATTATTTGTGGAAAATATATGCTTCAGGAGATATTGGAGGTAAGGATGATATTCAGAATTGGGGTATAAATAATGATGATTGGATTAAACTTTGTAATATAGATTTTGTGAAAAAATTCAATAATCTTGAACCTTTACAATATTTTAGAAGACTGGCGTATTTCAGAAGGCAAGGTTCCAATGCTACAAATTCTATAGAAAATCTAAAAATCAAAGAAGAAATGCAATAGGAAGATTCACACGATTCTATGGACCCTTCTTCAGTTGATTTGCATAAATTTTATTCGGCAAAACAATAGAAGGCAGTGCATGATCTTTTACAATCGATAGGATTCATTGATATTGACGATACAAAGATTCTTTCTGGAGATGATGTGACTAAGACTTTTGAGCAATCACAGGAAAAAATCATTAAAATTCGAGAAGATATATTATTACTCTTAGGTTTTAAGACTCAAGCTAAAGGATTGTCCGATCTCAATGCTGCAATAAAATTTATTAATGTAATACTGAGTAATTGGTGCGGTTACACTATCAAGAGTGGATGAAGAAAAGAAGGACCGAAAGATCAGCGAGTATAGAAAAGGACTTATTGGATTAATCATGTGGCAGATAATAAAGTTGATTTTATGACTTGAGAAAGAATAATGGCTATAAAGTTGAATGCTCCTAATTATTACCTTACAGATTCAGTTCTTCCACCATATAAACCTGAATTAGTCGATGAAACTCAAGAACTTTTCAATTCAATACCTATTACTACTGATATTATTAGCAATAAGATTTGTGAAGAGAGTTTTTATAATAATATAGCTGAAAAATTCGAGACTCAAAATCAATGGAATGATTCTGAACAATTCTCAAGCATTACTGAAACTAAGATTGAGATACCTGAATCCTTAGCCACTTTGTGTCTGCCTCTGGCAATTTCTCTATCTTCAGAATTCCTTATTAAAAGTGAATCTGATATAGATACCCTTATTCTTCTTTTACAGCAAAAATATCAAATGTCTCAAGAAAAATTAGATTAATGGAGAGACAAGATTGCCTTTGAAATGCGGGATAATCATAATTACTGAAAAAAAGAGCGTAAAATCATAAATGAAATCGATTTCTTGGATTACAAGCAGAAATTTGAAGCTAAAATGAAAGTTCCTACCACTCCACACAAAAAAGAGTTGAAAAATAAATCTTTAGCTTTCATTGAATATGCATAATTGTTATTTCAAAATAATGTGATCAGAATACTCTGACTGGGAGTATTTCTAGTCATATATTTTAGGTAAAGGGGTTTTTGTCACCTTTTACAATGAGTATGCAAAAAAATTCAAATCAAAAATTAATGCTCGATATACTGCGGGACCAAAAGTCACGCACTTATATGCAAGCGATAATACTCTGATACCTAGATCATATAAAGGGGTTTTTGTGTTGCCCGATTTTGGATGATAGGATTTAGATGATCAAAGAGGTTTTTGGGTCACAATCGCTGTCATCCGATTTGCGTAACTGCCTGTCAGATCGAGATGAAATTTTGATAAGTGCTTCTGATATATAAGGTACGTATTCGATAACCATTTTTGTATTACATAATTTTGATCGAGATATAGTTTCGGGTAAGTAATCACATTGTAAAATATGTGTCAAAGACACTAGCTTCGCTATAATACATATGTGATAGTATACTTAGAGACAACTTATGTCAAAAAAATTTGAGCCCCCAAGGAATAATTATTTCAAGTAAAAAAAAAGTGGATCCCCAAGGAATAATTATTACAGATATATATAAAATAAATTGTGCTTTGAGGGGATTACCAAGTAATACTTATTTCGAGTAAAAAAAGTGGACCCCCAAGGAATAATTATTACAGATATATATATAAAATAAAATTGTGCTTTGGGGGGTCACCAAGTAAGGGTAACAATTTGGCACTATGTGCCTCTTCCTTGGGTAATATAATAGATAACAATTCGGCACTACGTGCCTCTTCCTTGGGTAATATAATAGATAACAATTCAGCACTACATGCCTCAGGTTTGATATATTTTTTGTCATCCCAAAAACCTTCCAGGTGGGAATAGATGCTTTACTATATTTCACATCAGGACCTTTCAGGTGGAACTATTTCGGCACTACGTGCCTCAACTCTGGCCCTCATCGAGGAATTAATTAGAAAGCTAGGGCACTACGTGCCCAGTTCGGGCATAGCCCTCACATCAGGCCATAAATGACGATATATAATTGAATGCATCGTCAGATATATTTTTTTACCCATGTGGCCTGATACATAAAATGCATCACCTTGGTGCGTGGCCTAAAAAGAAAAATGCACGTCATTCAAATGACGAGACAAAAGCAAAACACTCGTCGTACAGGCGCATATCTCAGCAGCTCTCAAGTGACGATACAAATACAACCTATATAACATCCGATGTGTAGACTACTATAGACTCAGGTGTGTAGCCTAAAAAGCAAAATGCACGTCACTCAAGTATAGCCTAAAAAGCAAAATGCTCGTCACTCGAGTGCGGCCTAAAAAGCAAAATGCACGTCATACCTGAGACTAAAGCTCCTCATAGGCCTTAAGGCTCGCAAGCCTAGCGAGCCGAGCTGATCCAAGTCGAGCTGAGCCTGATATTATAGGCTCATAGGCTCGCGAGCCAAGCCCAACTAAGGCCTGGCTCGAGCCTCAAAGTAGGCTCGCGAGCCTT